CCGGTGTCCCCTGCATCGGCAGGCGGACTCTCAACCACTGCGCCACCAGGGAAGCCCCCATATATCACATTTTGACAAAATTTAAATAAGATGGTATATGTTAAAAGACATAGCATATTCCCTAAAACGTACTAGATTTTCCAGAAGGCTGAAGTTGATAATGATATGCTTACGTTTCCATTTTGCCCTCGATAGACTTTTTCTGCTTTAATATTTCTATAGATGATTTTAAAACTTTCAGATCAACTTCCACATTTGTAAATGACATGTAAATAATTTGAAAACCTTTTCTCTAATTAGAAAGATTATTTTTCCTAATGCTTGTTTCCTTTCTTTGGACTCATGGGCAATCTGCTTATTTCTGGCTTTCTGTAGCACAAACAGAGAATTATTGATTTTTTTATACATACTCACTTTTTTCCTTTTTAAAAAAAATCCGAATAATAACATTTCAACTAATTCAAAGGCGTTTTAAAAAATAAAAATGTACGTTACTTTTTAGAAGTATAGTTTAATAATATACGTGATATTTAACATTTATTTGGAAGTATCCAAAAAGTTATTTGTCTGTAATCTTCCATCCCCACCATCAGAGCTTTGACCATTTTTTAAAATTTAAATATTTTCTACTCTTCTACATCTTATATATCCTTATTTAGTACTTTGCTACATTCATATTCTTTGATAAGATGCAATTCTAGTAATTTACAGTCAATATCAGAAATCTTGGTATTTTAACTTCTTTATCAATAAATAGATGATTTGTTTGAAATTATTCAGATGATGATAGTTTGGAACTTAAATCAATGTTGGTTTTCAGATAATGTCTTTCAGTCTGTGGCTTCAGTGGGTATATTTATAAAATATGACTTTCTAGAGGGTGTTAATGCTGAGAGTATCAAACAAGCCACAGAACAACTGAACAGCCGGTGGATCGAGTTCTGCCAGTTGCTAAGTGAGAGACTTAACTGGATGGAGTATCAGAACAACATCATCACTTTCTATAATCAGCTACAACAATTGGAGCAGATGACAACTACTGCAGAAAACTGGTTGAAAACCCAACCCATTACCACATCAGAGCCAACAGCAATTAAAAGCCAGTTAAAAAATTGTAAGGTAAGAGTGTTTCCTCCTATTTGGAGCATGATCAGTAGAAATTTCTTGGAAATTTCCAGAAGAATAGCAAATTATTTAATGATAAAATTTCCCTCTTAAGGGTTTAGTTAAACACAGTGAAGATCAAAATATAAGTGAAGAAAATGAGTTTAAATAGGTAACATGGATGCCCGAATCCCCAAAAACTTAGTTACACATAGTTAATTGATTTTGTCAGTTTTCAAAGTGGTGAGGCAGTGTTGGAGTATAGCAACCACACGTATCCTACGGAAAATGGACAGTAATTTGGTGCTGTCCAGTTCTTACGGCAGCTCAGGTGAAAAGAGCAAAACACAGTCATATGTTCAAAATGTGGAATCCACACAAACAGAAGCAGCTGATATACAGTATAATTGGATATATGAGGAAAATCTTTAAAACTGACAGTCCATTAAATTAGGATACTTCGAGGACGGTTCCTTTGCAAAAATATTTTTTATATGTACTTGGAGTATAGAGGAACCTCAAGGGATAGTACAGTAACCCAGCATCAGTGCTGTTGCTATACTTAAGATAGAAAGGATCAGGGAGCGAGAAGTTACAGAAACCCAGAAGGAGAGTCAGATGCTCATTGTAAAGGCAGCTTTAAGAGCCAGTCCAAGTACCAACACAGGAGTGGGGCCAGAAGAATAAACACCCTACTTTGCTCTCCTCCCTGCCTCCAGAATCTGAACAGGGGCCCCCATCAACTAAACCTAATCAGAAGGCAGATTGACAAGGAGCTTTAATCTATAAATGTCATTCTCCTGGGTCACAGGAGAAGGGTGGGCAGTATATCTGGAGGGGCAAACAAGACACAGCACACACAAAAGGGCCTGAGAAAGACACTAAATGAGTATTCTGCACATGTAAATAAACAAGATATAGCAATATAAACAACTTGAACTTTTTGCATAGTTACTACAAACTGTTACTATGCATAGTTACACTTTTCATGGGAAGTGGGAAATTGATTAAAGGATAGATGAAAAGGTTTCCAGGATCAACCTTAATGGTAAACTGAGATGACTGGGCTTAATTTTAAAAGCAATGAATGGGGGTTAATCTGCATACTTTGAAAACAGTGGTTTAAATAATGGAAGACTGGAGATGGAGAGGCAACAGGGTTGGTTTGGAGGTGGTATTGAATCCAGAAAGTGAGGGGGAATTCAAAGCTATTTTGAAGGGAAAATCAGTTGAAGGATTTGATGATTCTTCTTCAAATATTGGACCTATAGCTTTATTAGGAAGTAAATAAACTCAGGAAATATATTTTTGGATAAAGAATATCGTACAGCAAGGCATTTAGTTTATTAGGCAAATATGCAAGTGTAGGTAATTTCTGTTCCCTGTAATTCTAGATACATTTTGCTATTAAAGAATAGAATCCATGACTTTTTTTCCCTGTGAATTAGAGGAATACTCCATCTGTATTATTTCTTGCGATAAAAAATCTGTTGATAGTACCTTAACCTGTTTCTTGAGATTCAGATATAGATATTAATAACATCTACAAAATGCATTCATCCATAGAATACATACATATTCAGTGTCTCTAATGTGGCCAAGAATGATACTAAATGTATTAGCTGGTTTGGGCTGCCATAACAAATACCATAGACTGGGTGGCTTAAACAAAAGAAATTTATTTTCTCACAGTTCTGGAGGCTGAAAGTCCAAGATGAAGGTCTGGCAGGGTTCAACTTCTGGTGAGAACTCTCTTTCTGTCTTGCAGACAGCTGCCTTCTCACCATTGTCCTCACCTGGCCTTTCCTTGGCACATGTGCACGGAGGGGAAAAAAAAATCTTTCTCTTTTTCTTGTAAGGCCACCAGTCCTATCAGATAAAGACCCTGCACTTAAGAACTGATTTAACCTTAATTACTATCTAAAAGCCCTATCACCAAATATAGTCATATTGTGGGTTAGAGCTCCAACACATAAATTTTGGGGGACATGATTTGGTACACAGATTCTCACGCTGCCCCCCATTTATGTCCTTGTTACATGCCACAAGCCCCCAAAGTCCAAAAGTCATAACTCATTCTAGCATCAACCCTAAAGCCTAAAGTCCAAAGTCTCTTCATAATTTAAATCAGATAGGGATGGGACTCAAGATATCATTCATCCTGAAATAGAACTTCTTTCCTGCTATAAACCAGTGAAACCCTATGACTTATGTGCTTCCAATATATGATGGTGGGATAGGCATAGGAGAGGCAGTCACATTCCAAAAGGAGAAAAAATAGGGAAGAAAGAAGGGATTCTAATCAAGTCCAAAATTTAGCAAGGCAAATTCCACTGGATTTAAGGTTTGAGAATAATCTTCTTTGGCTTGATGCCCTGCCTTCCAGTCCTGCTAGGTGATGCTTCTACCTTTAGGACCCACTGGGGTGGTAGACACTTAAGTTTAGGGAATATTAGAGTGACCATTCATTGACCCTGCCCTCATAGCATTTACCTAGAGTAGGTGAGAGAGAGAGATTAAGTAAATGATTAAATAAACAGATGTTAAATTACCACCGGGACAAATGCTTTAAACAGAGGTACAGAGTTCTGGGAGAGTGTCTAACAGGGAAAACCTGACTTTGACAGAGCCACCAAGGGCAGCTTCCTTGAGGCAGGTACATTTGAGTTGAGTGTAAGAGAACAGCAGGGAAGGAGGCTTCAGGCAGAAGGAACATGGTGGGAGGGAGCAGTAATGACCAAGTAACTGAAATAAGGCCGATGTGAATGCTGGGCATAGAAGGGTGGGGGCGTAAGATGAAAGATGGAGGCAAAAAGACCAACATATAGGAGACAAAGCAAGGACTCTAAGGGCATGCTGGGACCTTGGTCTTTATCTGAGGAGCGAATGGAGATCACTGGAGGTTACATATCTTAAATATTCTCTCGAGGTTAGAGAAGTCATCCTAAGTGAAATCATTTCTTTTTTCTGCATTCAGCCACAAAGTTCCAAATTCTGATGATGGAAGTCTATACCTCTTCATCACTCCTTACTGTTTCTTTCTGCCCCATTGGTTTCTGTTAGTTTGATGAATCACCTTACGCAAAATACTTAGCAGGATAAGCCCCATGTCATTCACACAACAGTTGAAATTGTGATTACTTGGTTGTGATTAGTAATAGGTAGTTAAATTACTCCATCCTGTTAGCGCATTCTGTTATTTGGAGATGTTTCTAAAATTAGGGTGCAGATTTAGCTCAAAATCTAATGTTTGCCAGAACTGGTTCTTAATATGTTGAGGATTAGGGAGCCCTTTAAGAATTGGAAGAAATCCATGGACCCTTTCCTGAGGAAAAAAATACAAGTTTTTCTAGTAGATAAACATATAATTTTGAAGGATAAACAGACTGAGAGAACATGCCTTACTCTAGAGGACCAACCACACTAAGGCCCTTTTATGGAAATAATGAGTAATTGTTAACATCTTTTAAATGTTAAATATTTGAGGTCAAAATGATATATCCTATGATTTACTCTTAGAAATTTAAGGTCCCTGCT